CGCCAACAATGCAATCCAAAATAAGCACTAAAATATTGCCAATGGCAGCAAGTTTCTTGCAAATTAAACGAGCTCAAGTAATGCCAAGCGCCCAAATGACTGCTCGAACAACTACTGCAACATTTAATGTTGAAGCAACAATGTTGACAACATTGGCGCAGTTGAGCGCCAGTGCTGAGCAAGCCGGTCAGAGTGGGAAGGGAGAGGATGGTTCAGAAGTTTCAAAAGCAACTGCGGTAATAGAAACAACAAAAGTGCAAACCTCCACAACACCAACAACAACAAGAGCAACAGACGAAAAACAAACAACACAGCTGTCACAAACAACAATACAGCCTGAGTCAATGGCCAAACAGAAAGTAGATAACAATTTAACTCGAAATGACAGCGACAATGACGGCTATAAAGTGCAGTCAGACAAACAATGGCAAGAAGAAGAAGACGCAAAGAGAGGGACAGCAACAATGGCAGCTAAACAATTGGCGAGGGCAAAGGCGGCACAATTTTGGCAGCAACATAATTTTAAACGAGCAAATCCGTATCCAAACGACATTTCCGGTCAATGGCGTCACAGCGAAGAGGAGCGCCGTTGGCAGGAGGCACAAAATGAAAGCACTACCGAGCACAGAGTAGCTACAACAAGAGGGCCCGTTACAACAACGTCACCACCATCACCTCACAAACACGAGCCGTTACAACTGCACATACGAGATCGTCATTTAATTGGAACACCGTTGCTCATGCACCGTGGCGAAAATATGCTGGTGGAGGCGGCCGAGGCGCTCAGGCAAACGACTGTTACAGCTAAAGCAGCATCAACAACAGCAACACACATCACTACAACTACCAGTACGGTGCAGTCTTCAAAAGCAACAAACGATAGTGTGTTGCAGCAGCGTACAATGAACGACAAAGCTTTGGCCACAAGCCAACTAATGGAAGCTGAGCATCAAGCGAACGTCAACCTTTCAAGGGAGGAGGAAACGAAAGCGAATCTGCTGCAGTTGATTACAAGAACTGCAAATAGCAATAACTTCTCTAACACGGAACGCTCGCAAGCGGAAGCAATAAACGTTGAGACAAATGTGACGCCAGTACAAGAAATTGGCAGCGAGGACCAACAACGCCCGGTGAAGCAATACGATAGACATGCAGATAAGCAAATGTTGGCAGAAAAAGTGGTAGCCACAAAAACAACAGTAATGGGCGCCATAACCACTGCAGCCACTGCAACCACAACGGACAACATAAACATGGAACAACATAAAGTTACAGCAAGCGGAGCGCACAAGGTGTACGCTACAGAGCGCCGAGTGCTGCCAAAAAAATATGACGATATCGCAGGTGCTGGCGTCGGAGGAAGGCACAACAAGCCCACGTTGATTATGAAGAAAATGACTATACAAACAAAGCACACGCACCACACACAAGCCCCGCTGCAACAGCACTACTCGCTTAACACGCCACGGGAAAACGAGTCGGTGTTACGTGAGCGCAGTGGTGAAGCGGTTGCGGGTGGCGTCCACGGATTTGTAGGCAAACTTATGAATGCGGAAAGCGACTTGTTTGAGGATAACAGCGCACATAACTGGAACAGCATCAATGAGCAAACGGAGTTGTCCCACAATATGCCACAACCNCGTTGCTCATGCACCGTGGCGAAAATATGCTGGTGGAGGCGGCCGAAGCGCTCAGGCAAACGACTGTTACAGCTAAAGCAGCATCAACAACAGCAACACACATCACTACAACTACCAGTACGGTGCAGTCTTCAAAAGCAACAAACGATAGTGTGTTGCAGCAGCGTACAATGAACGACAAAGCTTTGGCCACAAGCCAACTAATGGAAGCTGAGCATCAAGCGAACGTCAACCTTTCAAGGGAGGAGGAAACGAAAGCGAATCTGCTGCAGTTGATTACAAGAACTGCAAATAGCAATAACTTCTCTAACACGGAACGCTCGCAAGCGGAAGCAATAAACGTTGAGACAAATGTGACGCCAGTACAAGAAATTGGCAGCGAGGACCAACAACGCCCGGTGAAGCAATACGATAGACATGCAGATAAGCAAATGTTGGCAGAAAAAGTGGTAGCCACAAAAACAACAGTAATGGGCGCCATAACCACTGCAGCCACTGCAACCACAACGGACAACATAAACATGGAACAACATAAAGTTACAGCAAGCGGAGCGCACAAGGTGTACGCTACAGAGCGCCGAGTGCTGCCAAAAAAATATGACGATATCGCAGGTGCTGGCGTCGGAGGAAGGCACAACAAGCCCACGTTGATTATGAAGAAAATGACTATACAAACAAAGCACACGCACCACACACAAGCCCCGCTGCAACAGCACTACTCGCTTAACACGCCACGGGAAAACGAGTCGGTGTTACGTGAGCGCAGTGGTGAAGCGGTTGCGGGTGGCGTCCACGGATTTGTAGGCAAACTTATGAATGCGGAAAGCGACTTGTTTGAGGATAACAGCGCACATAACTGGAACAGCATCAATGAGCAAACGGAGTTGTCCCACAATATGCCACAACAAAAGCACAGCACTGTGAATACGCCCGTTATAAGAGATAGTCGCTTGGGCTTGCTAGCCGCAATGCAAAGTGTACAGTTTGGTGAACAGTCAGCAGCGCAGGAAAAACTCGATGCGCCCACAGCTCAACTCTCGATCAGCATGCAGAGCCGCACGCCAACACAGTCACAGCTGCACGAGCCAATGCACGGGCAGGAGCGCGCTGCTGCGCACATGCAAACGCAAAAATGGTTGGACGCGCGCAAAATCGGAACGGGTACAGCGCATCCAGGCGTGGTAATTTTACTCTCTTTCTCGCTACTCGCTGTACTTCTGGTCGGCCTAATGCATGTCTATCGCTGTGATGTGTTGCCATGGAGGCGCCATTTGCTCGCCCATCAGCAGCGACCGCATCATCAGCGACAATTTAATGCCACCGCAGACGATGATGTGCACAGCTTTTTGCATTACCACAACAATGGCGGCGGTGAGCAGCAGCAGCAGCAGTGTACGCAACAACCGCCGCGCTGGCATCACGGCACGCGGTCACGCGCGCCCTACAGCTCGCCGCTACACAATTTGCATGTGCGCGAGTTGCAAAAGACTTCAGCTGTGGAGCTCGAGGTAGCAGCACGCGTGACGCGCAGCTATTATGATGTTAGACCATATGCAAGGAGCACTACAGCGCCGCGGCGCAATGACAGCACGGGCAGTAGTGCCAGCGGCGGCAGTGGCGAGGCATCGCGCAACAGCAGCAGCAGCCTGAGCAGCACACATTCCTCATCCACGGCGGGCATATTAGAGGCGGCAGATGATGCTTTCTATGTGGAAATGGCGGCAGAATGTGGTCAAATGACTGGCTGTAGTAGCGTAAATGATTCACAACATTGTGACATGTTGCCGATGGAGCTGTTGGCGATGACGTCGGCGGGCAAGCGAAATAATGGCAATGATGCAGATGCGGCAGTACATGAGACAGCGAGTTTGCGGTTGGGTGGCACGGACGTTGAAGAAAAAATTACCGGCGCAGTGATAGGGGCTAAGGCGGGAAAGCAAGTAACAAAGGCGCGCGACAACAGTGGTATCAGCGCGCTGCAGGCCAATGGCTGTAGGAGCAAAGTGCGCTCGAATACGGCATCTTACGTAGCACCGTCATCGTCCACGCGTAAATTTGACTTGTGGTGACAATCGATGTTTCAGCGCCAATATGCGCCATTCCAATAAATATGCGCGCTAACGCAAAGTGACAGGAGTGAGAGCAGTCATCAACGAAGGTGAAAAAATTTAAACCGAAAATGCTACTGGCATATAAGAGTGGAGTAACGGAGATGACAGCTGACAGCTGACAGCTGACAGCTGACTTGCTGACGGCTTATGAATTCGAATGCGGAGCAGGCGCAGTAAAGAACTTGATAAGTATGTAGTTTTATTGTGTAAAATAAGATACTTAATTAGGAATGTGGTTCAATGTGAACACAAATGTATGTATGTCAGTTGATAAGTATGTTAGCCAATGCATTATTGATAGGACGTTGTAAAAAAATTAGTATAGAAACTAATTTGGTGAAGATTAGGTAATTATTGAATAGATTCAGAAAATGCCAAAAGTACAGACAAAAGTTGCAAAGAAATTGAAGAAAAATGTTTATAAAATTTAACTTTAAAAAATATAGGTACACATTTCCCAGTTTTTATGGTAGAGTTTTCCCAAAACATTTTTTAATACTTCAAACTTATTTAAACACCGGGCACATATACATACAAAACACCTTTACTTTTGATTAAATTTTCGCTGGAATCGCAATACGGCCATACTTGGACGTCTAACATTAATATACCTGTAAAGTTGGAGGGGGACTAATGGAAGAAACTACAGCCTACTTCCTGATATGTATTACCTTAAACCCTCACTTAGATAATTGNCATTTCCCAGTTTTTATGGTAGAGTTTTCCCAAAACATTTTTTAATACTTTAAAGGTATTTAAACACCGGGCACATATACATACAAAACACCTTTACTATTGATTAAATTTTCGCTGGTATCGCAATACGGTCATACTTGGACGTCTAACATTAATATACCTGTAAAGTTGGAGGGGGACTAACGGAAGAAACTCCTCCTGATATCTGTTACCTTAAACCCTCACTTAGATAATTCGCATTAGATATAATAAATAAATATGCACGAGTACATGCGGGTGATTAGCCAAGCGAACAGCTGAATCATAGCTGATAGGTTGGAACAATTCTTGGAAAGTTAAACGTCATCAACTCACTCCGTATAAACTTGTGCAGGGATACCTAAACTTTGTCGAAAACTGAGGTGCTTCTTTTGTCTAAAGCGTAAACTCTACTAAGACATAGTGCGTTATTTTCATAAGGAGATATAAAATCTCGATTTTTCAATCGCCCACGATAGGTGGATTTGCCCTAACGCTCTCTAATAGGGTGAAGTACATGGGCTTGTTCCTTGACAGCAAGCTTTTCTGAATGCCGCACATCGAATTCATTTCAAAATACAGCAAACTCCTTTTCTCTTTCGGAAGCATGAACAATCAAAAAGAAAGCGTTGCACAGTGGGACTCGGAGGAAAAATTAAATTTTTGAACATTGCATTTATTGCATTCAAATGCTTTATCCTCATAAAGCTTAGCACCCAGCTCACAACAAAAGAAAAACTTCATATAAAAAATCAAGTTCTTAAGAAATTTGCTACGCTTTCTACTACGGTTTTCTAAAGTTGTTGTGTGAAAAAAGAGCACAAGGCAACCCATGTTTGAAAGAGTGAAACAGTAGGCTGTGAAATATTAGATGTTAAAATTCCTTTGACACTACTATTTTCACACACGAAATAATGGCAATTTTTTCTTGACCGTTTTCTTAAGAGCTGGATACCAAGCTTAAAGCAACATCTGAGTAAAGAAAATTCATTATTACTTTTTTACGAAATTGACATTATATACAAAATAAAAGTAACAGAAGAAGCTAACGTTATTAAAAACATAAGAACAAAATTTTGGAGTCATATATTCATTGGTGCATTTTTAATT